GCCCTCTAGGCGGGGAAAAAATCCTCGCAATTTTAAGTATCATGGTCAATGTGAGCAAAAGTAAATTGTAAAGTTTTTTAAAAGAAAAGGAATCTTTGTAAACAACTCCTTTTTGTTGTTTTCTAAAGCTGATTTTTCTAAATTCTCTAAAATGTCCCTTAGCTCCATCCTCTCCCAAGCTTTTCAACTGTAAACGAAATGATTTTTTAATTAAGTTATTTGTGTTTCTGTGACGGACTACTATATATTAAAGAGTTACGTTTATTGTGGGGAAAAATTTTTAATGTTCCATTGATTTATCTTCGTCGGTTTTTTTTTTTCATCTGATGTTGGTTGGTAGGTACTTTATTTACGTCGCACTAGAGCTGCACAATGAGCTATTGGCAAAGGTCTGGGAAACCTCCCTGTGGATGATCCGAAAACATGCCATCACAGTTTTGATCCTCTGCAGAGGGTATGTCTCCCCTGCTTTGGTAACCCGACGACCTGCAAGCGAAGTCGAGTACTTTACGGTAGAACACTTTAACGAGGACCAATACCGCACACCCTCTGTCCCTACTCAGGCTGATCAAAGTGGTCACCCACTCGCTTACTGACCGCAGCCAATGATACTTGACTTCGGTGTTCTACTGGGAACCATGACTGCACGATCAGTCCACAGCGGGACTCCATCTGATGTAAACAGATCGCAGAAAACCCGTCTATTTCTGCTCCATAGCTGAACCATTTGACAATAATCTAATCCTAATAAACAAGATGATATACTAAAGAAATTAATCCCAATGGGTTTGTTTAAATAGAATAGAAGTCCATGCACAAAATTACTTGTTGGAAATTATTACGCATACTTTAAAGATTTGAGTGTTAATTTCTTCACAAATAAAAATCTTTTAGGACTTTATATAATTTAAAATTCTGATAATATTTAAAGACTGCCAGAATTTTACGCCAAAAAAATATATTTTTTCTTTTGTCCAAATTTTTAAAAATCGACAGAAAATTCACTGTCCGACTTTTAATAAATTTGCTCCCAATGCACCTGATGTTTGTGTGTGGGTATATATTTATGCTTATATGCATACAGGGTGTTTACTAAATGACCAACCCATTTTGAACGCAAATATATATTAAAAAAAAGCATAGTGTTGAGAATACCTCGATCCCCCCTAGCGGACAATAACAGAAACATTCAATTACGAACTTTTTCTCCACGAGCGTGGTATAGCTTGGAATTTGTCATGAACAACGTACAACTCTTTTCATCTGTATATAGCTTTCCCTTTTTTATCATGCTAATTAAATTTAATTATTAAACGTTTTGTGCGAAGTATTTTTCAACCTAAGTGTAATTAGTTCTCTTCAGCCCAAGACCTTGGAAGAGAATACTAGGTGAAGGCAGAACAAAAAGCCGAAACAAGGTAAGATTCCTTGTTGATATATATTGAATCATTAGAAGTCTTTGTTTAGTATTCGTTATACATAGATAGGCTATATTTTTTATTTGGTGATGTCATCAGTACTAAGAAAATAATAATTCCTAGGTATCTAAAAAATTTTATGTATTTCTGAAATACATAAATGATCATTATTAGTGACAATAACAAAAACTTTACTTCAAAGTGACGTTATATAATATTTGCAAAAATGACATCTGGTGAAGCAATTTTTTTTTACGAACCAAGAACAAACTTGTAAAATCAGCATCAAAATTTTTCTATTCTAGAACTTAGAAATGTTTCTAAAGGTTTGTAATGCCTCGTATCTGGCTTATACATATGACCTGTTCAGGAGCTTGTAGGAAAACGAGAAACTATACTGACATGGTCCAGCATTCATTTAGATTGCAGATAGACAGTGAGCTTGGCATCAACTCACAAACGGTTGTATGCCGTATCTCACTAACATTTATAAATGTGCAATGAATAGGATTCTTTACTTAATGTGGTATCTCCACACTTAAAAGGTTCATTCGAAATCACTCATTGCGACTCAAATCATTTATGCCGGCATGAGATGATACTAGTCCAGATCCATCAGACAGCCCACTATCAGATAACTATCGAAAAATATCGCAGAGTAACAGCAACTATTAAGCAGAGACGCAAATGGAAAAAAACGGTAACCCATCCTTATTTATCCTGGGATATATAACAACTGAATGTTAAATAATAGCTATTAAAATCACTAAAGATAAATTTATGCAAATTACCTACTTTCGACAAATATTGGCAATCGAAATGGGCTGCAGGTGGCGTAGAGCAGAACTCTCTACCTATGGCAACACTTCGCATGCTTTCACCATTAGCATGTGGAGAGTCATAGAGGAAGGAAGTACGTTAGTCTCTGTCTTGATTTTCATATAGATTAAAATCTTTTCAGTTGGGAAACTATATGGAACTGAAAACAACATTAAACATAATTTTAAAAGAAAGCCTCGTGGAAATTTGAAAGAAACATTATTGTTAATTAAAAATGAAAAATATTAAGAAAATGAAAAATATAGTAGTACATTCCTACACAACTGAAAAGAGGAGGAGAGGGAAGGGAGAAAGGCCAAAAGCATGGAACTGGTCTTCTCCCCAGATGGCGTATTCGAGCGTTGCGATAGCCTATTACAGAAAGATGCATGCTTATTCCCTGCGAATGACGCACATCGCGACCACTCTGTCCCCTGACGAGTTTTCGCGCAACTACCAGAAGAGGTATAAGCAACGCCTCTAAAATAAACAAAGCCCTGCTAAGTATTTGATATGTAACGTTAGTCGATCGTAGTCTTTAGATTCGCTGATCGACAGAATGTTACATGTTTTGAATAGAATGTTTTCTTATAGCAAAAATTAAAATTGGATTTCAGAGTGCAAAATATTTTTTTTACAAAAATGACGTTTGGTAAAGTCATTGGTTTCAAATAAAACCCAACATCAAAACTGTTTCGGTAAGGACATTGAAATGTTTCTTACCTCTGAAGCCAATAATACATTTCATTAGTACCAATAATTAAAAATCGATTTTTAGATGATTTTATGACTTAAAGACCATCAAAACTATAATTCCTAGACTCATATTTGTGAAATCAGTATCAAAATTGTTCCATTATAACTTCTGAATGCTTCATGGATTTTCAAACAGTTGTTACTCGCTGAAATAAAGGTATGATACTTTTAGGTTACTGCATTTAAAATTATTCATAAGAAAATTCACAGATCAAATTTGGAAAACCAGTTTAAAAACTGTCTCTGATGATCAGTATTTTTTTAAACTTACAATCGAAAAACTCAATATTTGACAGCTGATTGCAACAACAAATAAAATTAATTTCTAAAGTTTATGGAATTTTTTAACTACCTCCAGCTACAATTTGTTGATATTGAATTGCTAGTTGAGAAAATCTCATTTGCAGTTAAGTTAACTGCCTTCAGTCGAACAAAACTTTCAGTTTCGTTAGAAAAACAACAACATTTTAACAGTTCGATTCATTTTTTAATAACATAAACTTGAGCTTTTTGAGTTGGTTACTTTCAGTTTGGAATAAAATATGATACAGATAAGGTAGCAAGAATTTCCCATTTCTGCCAAATTACATCCTGGTTCCTCCTCAGGTGAGTTACACTTGCCTTGATTTCATCTTTCTCTGAAAGTCAAGATTGTTAAGAATGGTAGTATAAAAAAATATATTCTGCAATATAAGAAAAAGATAAATGTCCAACAACGCTACAGTCTGAAGGAGATATAGTAACCTGACCAAAACTACCGAACGATTTGTATTGAATGTTGTTTCCATGGTCAAAATTAGTGAAATCCTCATCTAAACCATATTTTCTAATTTTCAATCTCTAAAGAATATAACCTTTTTCCCTCTGAGTCTTTAATATGCTGTTTGGACAAATGCAAACACTAAATCATTCAAACTACATAGTACAATATTTTTCAAAAATTCATAAGATAATGTAGTTACTAACATTAAGATATAAAAAAAAATTAAGTTTTAGTTAACAGGGTGAGTAGCCAAATTATTCAACAAAAAAAGCACCTTTTAAGCACTTTTCAAACACTCAAACCCGCAGTGGACTGATCCTTAAGACACGGTTCCCAGCAGATCACCGAAGTCAAGCATCACTGGCTCGGTCAGTGTGCGGGTGGGTGACCACTTGGATCAGTCTGTATAGGGACCGAGGGTGTGCGGTATTGGTCCTCGTTAAACTGTGCTACCGTAAAGTGCTCGACTTCGCGCGCAGGTCGTCAGGCTACCGAGGCGGGGGTGCCATCCCCTCCGCAGAGGATCAAAATTGTGATGGCATGTCTTCGGATCATCCTCCGGGATGTTTCCCAGACCGTCGCCAATAACCCATTGTGCAGCTCTAGTGTGACGCAAATTAAAAACAACAACAATCAAACACTCAAAAATTATTTTTAAGTACTTTAAAAAAATATCATAATTACACAGGGTTGGAAAGTTTTTGGCAATTGATGGTCAAATCTTGTCGAAAATCATGAAATTTTGAATCATGTAAAACAAATGGCGTTTTCATACGCTACGAACTGACAATACACCGAAATAGATTGGGGTTGAATTAATTGTGAAAATGTTTTCTTTTTATTTCCAATGGCAGAGGGCAATTTAAAAGAACAAAAAGGATAAAATAACAAGAAAAACAAGGCAAAAAGAGATAAATAGCATAGAATGCATAGTGACATGCTTAGCCCATACGGGCCCTAGCCTCCCAGTAGCGTCCACACACAGTAGTGGAGATGAGCGCAGGACAGAGGGAAATATGGGGCAGGTCCATGTCTTCCCCAAAGCGACAGAACTTGCATTTAGGACAGTCAAAAATGTTTATACTGAAAAGGTGTTTGGCCAGACAGTCATGGCCCGTTACAAGTCTAAAGAGAGAAACTGCCTTAAACCTGGGCTGATTTGGGATGGTTAAAATGTGATTGAACCAGGTTTTGTGTATATTGCTTTTACGGAAATTCTCTGAGAACATGTTCCGGAATTGGTTTCAGACCAGCAATTTAAATGAGTGCAGAGAGATGGAGCAACGAGATGTTTGAGCAATAGTTGTTCCTTTCTTGGCCAAGAAATCAGCTTTTTCACTACCCCAAATCCCGCAATGTCCCGGGATCCATTTGAGGACGATTTGCTTGCCTTTTAGTGTCAGGTCTTTCAGGCAATCAATGCATTTCTGAATAGAGATGGATTGGGGAATCAGTGGAGAGTTAATATCAAGAAGTGCTGCTTTAGAGTCAGTTAAAATGACGGCGCTAGAAAATTGGTCAGTACGACACTGTAGTTTTTTTAAGGCAATTAGAATAGCCTCGATTTCACCGTCGTAGGCAGATGCATAGCAGCCAACAGAAGCGTAGGCAGAGAACAGGTGACAAAATACTCCCGCTCTTGCACTCACCCGCTGATCCACTCGGGAGCCATCTGTATAGATTCTCAACCGTTCAGGTTCAGGATGTAGCTCATTCATAGTTGCGTAAGAGATACCTTTAAGGACATCACTAAGCAAAATCTGAGAGCAAGGACTGTGACCACATTGAAAGACTGGTAGTCCAGTGGGCTACAAGGAGTAGGAAGAATTTCAGGCTCAATAAAAAGGTTGTATTTGTCTTTTAAGCTCAGCACCTTCTGAAGGAAACCCGCTTGAGTCTTTAAGTGGCGCTGCCTGGGGCTCTTTAGGTATTGTGAAAATGTTGAATAGAAAAAACGTGAACTGTGTCTTTTTGCATAATTCGTAGCGAAAATCAACATGATAAAGAATAATCTCATTTTGAAAAAGGGAAAATTAAGCACTTTTTCAAACCACCCAATGAAAAAAGCACCTTCAAGGGCTTTTAAAAAAACAAAAATAAGTACCCTTGAGCAATTTTTAAAAACAATACGCACCCTGGTTAATGGTTTCTCAGAGATGACAAGTGCAGAAAGTTAAACATTCCAGTCATCTCTTCGAACAAAAACTACTAAGTATGTGCATTGCTTGAAAAAAAAACTATTCTAGCAAAAACTGTTTCTTGATAATAAAAAAACTTTAAATAAAAAAAACTTTCAGTAAACAAAAATTATAATTTTTTCATGCTTCAATGCAGCTTAAAATAAAAATAAAAAAAGCAAAAGCCCGTCTAGCGGATTGAAATTTTGTTATGTTTTAATTTGAATTTTTAAATAAAAACAAAAATGCTATTTAAAAAAATACAAAAATAGAAGTAAATTAAATCTTGACCCGAAACACCCATGAAAAGATGGTGTTTGAACTATTACTGAATACTATTTTAGCCCACCATTGTCAATTTTTTTATTGAAAAATCGATCAATGATTTTAAGCAATTCAAACTTTTGACCAATGCATGGAACAGCAGTCTGTAAGTAACTAACTACACCAGACTTATTTAACTTTTTTTTCTAGGAAATGAAATAAATTGAAACCAGTTTCACACACATATGAAATTGCATTTTCAGCTGCTTTCTTCTTTGGCCTAGCAAAACTAGTTTTGCCATGTTATTAAATAGGAAAATTGTGTAAAGGAGAAAAACATCTTCCTAAATTTGGATAAACATTGGAATGCCAAAAATTACGATCTTATTATATTTAGTAAAGAACTATTCTGGTGAAAGAAATTGAAATCAAAAGAATGATTTCAGCTCAAACGTACTAAAAACAAAACTACTTTAAGCAATAGCAAAAATATCATACTAATACTATACTTTAGTCTACAATTATGTATGATGTACAATTAAATGAATTTTTTTATTTTATTGCAAATTGAAAAGATGTAATTGGATTACTGAATAGATAAAATAGATGATATAGTAAATCACATAAAAACACATGAGGCAATATTTTAAAGAACAGGAAGAAAAAAAGTTTTATTTTTTTTTACTCCTTTAAAAACACAATGTTTGTTAATATCATTAACAAACACAAGGAAATTATGAAGTGTTTTTTTTATGCTTAACTATATTTTGAGGCTAAAAATAATCTAAAATATAGTTATAGCTACTGTAGGTAATTAAAAAATTTTATTTTGAAAGATTCTTTAATACAAATTTATTATCTAAGTACGTCTGATATAAAAATAAGAAATTAGTAACGATAGATAGCAATATAAGCAATAAATTAAAAAAATGACGAAAAATTGAATGATGAATGATTTTTTTTAAAAAAAAAAGAAACATTAACTTTACAACAAAAAATAAAGAATGGCCATAAGAACATTTTTCTAATTATTAAACCATTCTAATCTTTAAAAAACAAAATCTGTATAGTTGATAGCAATATTTTTAACATCTAAAAATTAATTTTTCACTATAAAACAAATATTAAATACAAATGTTACTAATGCCATTCTATTTTGCAAAATAATAATAAGCCAAGTAATTTATAGTTAATTTAACATGCAACAAAATTGTTACAAGTTCCAATTACTTAAACACTTGAAAGAATTCATTTACAAAGCAAAACTGCTGATTTCTAATAACAAAAATCTATGTAGTGATAAATAAAAAATACACAATTTGAATTTAACAAGAAATAATATTTATTTATGATACATTAGTGAAACAAACCTGTTAAGTAAACTAGCAATTACATCAAATAAAAGGAATGTTACAATGTTTGAGGAGAAATTAATAAATCTCATCCTCGAACATAACTGATAATTTAATTATCAGAGCAACTCAAATTTAGAAAAGAGAAACAATTTATTTTTTAACATTGATGGTAAGAAACTGCAGATAATGCAAGGCACTAAGCAGTAATAAGCTCAACATTGTATTTAAAATAATCAAATCTTAAACAATATTAAAGTTCATCAATATCAAAAGATTCCTCAGGAAAATCGCCAACAGTAACATCATGTGGCTTAACAAAACCACCATACTTAGGTTGGCACTCAAAATATCTTTTACCACCAACAGAGCCATCATTTTTGCCCAAAGGTTCATCATATTTCATGCCAACCCAGTAGCCTGGTTTGAAATCAGTTTTACCAACATACATCACTGTCCCTCTTCTACTGGGTTTACCAGCAACCCTAACTTGACAACGGTTTCCAACTGCAATATTTTTAATCAGTTCTTCTTCCTCTTTAATCTTTTCCTCGGCAGCGGATGTCTGTTCACCTCCTCCAAGTTTCAGTTTATCTTTGAAGGCTCGAAAAGTTTCACCCCGCTTGCTGTACTCTTCTTCAGATAGCATAAATTTCTGTACCTTCGATACATCTTCAAATTCTCCAGATTGGCGATAACTATCCACGACATGAAGAACTTTGGCATTAGCAATGGAGCATGATTTTAAAGTTGAAGCATCGTTCATCAGTTTCTCAATCAATTCATTATTTTCATCCAGAAGTTGAAGTTCCATTGTTGAAGCAGAAGCACCCGTTATAAGTTCTAGCTTTTGCTTCAGTTCCCCAATAGTAATCTCAATTGGAAAACGTCGTTGAGTTCCAAATGAGACAGTATTGCTAGTCACCAGGATGTCTAATACACTGGAACCACTCATCTTGACAGCCTGTAAAATAATAAAACTTGATAAATAAATAGTGATAAAATAGAGAACACTAAAAGAACTACCAAAGAACTCAAACATAACTAGTCATAAGTATGGTGTGTGTGACTAGCAGTATTAACTCATTTGGAGTTAAACCACTTAGGTTAAGTTCCAAATGAGTTAATACAGCTAATCACCAAAATGTCTAATATATTGGAGTCACTCATCTTTATAACCTGCTAAATAATTATAAAAATAAATTAGGTTTAAAAAAAATAAAGAATCTAAACATAACTGCAAAATAAAGGAAATTACTTAAAAATTTCGTACGGTCACCACGATTTACAGACAATTGGGAAGCAACGCACAAGAAAGCAAAAAAAAAAAAAGGAAGTCAAACTCAAAGTGTAAAATGTATAACCTCCTCCAGGCAAACCATATTACATTTCTTTAAATAATTTTGATTAAAAGAATCTAGCAGAGGCAGTTTAGATGTTGCGGCATATTTCAGCTACATTTTTGCGGATTAAACTAATGAAGTTATGTAAAAAAAAATTTTAACTAACTATTTAATAAATACAAGGCAGTACTTAAGGAGGAGGCAAGGTACTGGCCTAATTAAAATTCCTCACAAAAAACCAAATTAAAAAAATAATTATTCGTTTATTAATATTTTTTATTTCACAAATATTTATTCAGATAAAATGTTAAATAGATAACACTATAAACCTATAAATATTTAGTTCATAGCAAACATGACCTTTTTAACAAATGTTTGGAAAATATTTTAGTATGATTATGAAGATTGTTTTTTTCTTTTTTTTTTTCTTTCTTAAAATGAAAAAGTTGACAGAATAGGTTTTTGCTTTTGGGAGGAGGCACATTAAGAATCTTGCCTTGAACTTTTACGAGAATCATTTTCAATCAGAATTTTCTATAGACATTTAAATATTGAAGTTTAGAATTTAACATGAAATAGTCATGAAAAATTAATTCCCTTGGTTTTAAAGACAAGTTGCATTAGTAGGTACTTTCAGGTACCTTTGAACTGAAACTTATTGCTTCCAAAATATTAGGAGCTATATTAAAAGACAAATTTTTTTCCTTATTTGTGTGCTTTGTGCAGTATAAAAAACTGTTAGACTAGGTTACAGATAAACACATGAATTACAGAAACAGGAAATTAAAAGCAACACATAAACATGTAGAAGATACTCATTAAGATAGAAGTGGACACCACCCAGGTTACACGAATGACACCGTACGTTTCAAAACATTGATTGGCTAATCAATTTATCAATGTTTAAAATTATAACTTTAGACTGTTGCTTTATCCCCCTCCCCCCCAAAAAACGTGTTACTATTAATCCACTTAATCAGACAAGTAACAAGTTTCTGTTAATCAGATCATTTGAAAAATTCTGGGAGCATTTATTAAAGCTTTCTCACTTGAATTAAACATATTAAAACTGTGTAAATTTTGATTAATTTTTTCGAGGCAAAAAGGGCGGATAGCTGACACCCGGTCTTCGCAAGTCACAATGTCACTTTATAAATTTACACAAACATTTCAATAAAGACTATAGAACTATTAATAAATTGAAAATTCACTATGGTAATTTTTTAACACAAAAGCATTCGGAAAAAAAATTTCGGAAAAGAGGTTTAGGAACTGACACTTACCCCCAAAATACCAAAGTTTTTCAAATAAGAAGGCTTGTGAACAAAAGCTAGGTAATCGCTTTTGTTGCTAAGGATTTAAATATCAACTACTTCTTTTATTATACCTTATTCATAACAATTTATTGATTTTAATGTTATTTTTCACGTTCACTACGGAAACCAGACAAATATTAGTTGTTGGTTATAAAAACTAACTTCTGAGATATGCACAAGACACTAACTCTGCTTAGAGCTTTCATAGTAGTCAAACAATTAATTTATATTTCTTCAGTTGCCAGATTGCAAAAGAAATTAAATCATTTATTTGTATATAAATTGATTTATTAGAATTTGGCAACTAGTGCTAACTGCAATATTTTGAAGTTTGTTTTGTTTCACGCGTGTTTGATTGTACGCCAAAATATTCTTCGCTCTGTGTAAATTAATTATTCGAATTATGTTTTTCATACTTTTAAGATAAAGATATTGAATCATACTACTGTTACGAATTGCAATCGATTAATGTTTATAGAAAAAATAATTCGGGATTTAAAATTTTGTTGGTAAAGAAAAACTTTGTACGAGCAACATAGATGTTATATATTTAACCTACAATCTTAATATTGAAGTAAGTAGTAAATCTGTTAGAAGCTTAAAAATGTACCAAATGATTTTTTTTCCTATTAAATTGAGAGTTTTAATACTACACTTTTACCACAGTATTTTGTTAAGGAAAAGCTTTTGAAATTTAAAATCGATGATAATCAGATATTTTTTACAGAGTCATTATGCAGATGTAAATAATTATGTTGTAGAAATCAGTAAATTTTCCTCTTACTGTAAATAAAATAACTTGAAAATTTCTGCATGTAATAACATAGTTCAAATCTTTAACTAAACTGAATTTCATGCGTAAATAAATTTTAAGCAAGTATTACATGATGCAAAAAAATCTAACTTCGCTCGTTTTGTAATATTTAGGCACATTGCTATGTTTTATTATATTATCAGCTGAATTCCGTTTAATATCAATCTTGTATAAAATAATATTAATTATTAATAGACTAAATGTACATAAGACTAATATTTTATTAGTTACTATGACAACTTCTTGAAATCCATTGTGTAATGCCATTATGAAAAATCTATTTCACTTTGTTTTCTGGAACACTTAAATGAACTGTCTTGCTAACTACAATCGTCAAGGTGCCAAATAGATTTTAAACTTGTAAATTTTTAAGAGAAAAAAAACATGTAGATGTTTGCCTGCGGGGTGGCTACGAGTTATACCCTTTTCATGTGCCTCTGCTCGCAAAATGGCAAGACTTGGATACGTATGGCCATAGATCACGATACTGAAATCTCCCAGAAAATTTTAATGCTGCTAAAAATTATTACCCCGGGGCATAATCCCTGCAACATTGTCGCAGAACGTTACAGAGTTCTTACTGAAAGATTTTTCTTTTGAAAAGTAAAACAAAAATTATTTTTCTTTTCTACAGAAATTTCGACATAATCTGAGAACCATGCATTTAGATAATCACTAATTGACACGCTCAATTTACGCCTGTAGTATTGTAAATCAATGTAATGTTTCGATTTTATTTTCGGCAGTTATTGATATAGATTTTCACATGGTTTTTAAATTTCTCAAATTTTTTTCAAACAGTCTGGAAAATTTGAATCGTGCATTTAAGTAGTCCAATTTGCATGATTTCGACATTGATCTTTCTCTTTGATAACGCTCTGATTACGTGATTTTTAATTGTTTTTTATTGTGATGATTATTTACAAAATGCAAGAATATCACTCATAATATTAGAACAAAAAAATTATTACATGTTCAATTAAAAAAAATTATATATATATATATTTTTGTAAACAGTGCTTTTGTTATTTTAAATTAGTAACATGTATGCTTGTTATTATTAAAAGTATCTTGCAGAAAGATATTAATGCGAGACAGTTTTGTCGCAGATTGCTCNGTTGAATAGACTATATATATATATATTTGTAAACAGTGTTTTTATTATTTTAAATTAGTAACATGTATGCTTGTTATTATTAAAAGTATCTTGCAGAAAGATATTAATGCGAGACAGTTTTGTCGCAGATTGCTCGAAAAAATTCTGCCACATGGAGTTATAAAATTTTTAGCAGCAGTGACGAAATTTTTTGCTTTAATTTATTTTATGTGAGCAAGAATACATTGAATTTTCACACATCATTTTAGAGATGAATATCTATCATATCCATCATATAGAAATGAAGTTTTATCTATTGAGAAAAAATAAATTTTTTTTCCTTCTTCCACATTAACAATTGATAAGGCATAAAATTCATCCTTTCTATTAACCGGCCTCTATAATTAAGGGTTATAGGGACTGCAAAGCAAAGTTCACTTACTTATTATATATTATTAAATATTATATTATTATGTTATATTAATAAATATTTGATACTTTTTATACAATTTGCTTTAACTTATTACAGGAAAATAATATATAATAGGAAAAGATTTATAACTTTTAAAGCTCCATAATTCATTGAACAACAAAAGTGAATACCTTATCCTTTAAGTATGAATAAATATGCTTTTAATACTGATAAGTTATGTTTTAGCATAAGGATAAATAATGCAATATTAAAAATAATAATAAACTTTTTTTAATAAAGTAAAAACTTGTCTTCATTTTATTTCTTGTTCAAAAATTAATGTTTTATTTTTCACATTTTTTTTTTAAATTTAATTTGAACGAAAGGCTTTTGGACAATTTTAGACAAAGGGGTTTTAAACAGGACGGTTTAAACCATGGATTAATCCATTCTGTCCTAAACCTTGCCAACTCAGATTTAAACAACTTAAGCATTGAAAAGTAATATCTGTTTCCAAATGCAAGTTCAGCCTTTATCTCTGAGTTTAACATTCTTTTTTTTCTTCTTTTTTTTTTCAGTCATAATTGAGCCAAGATATTTGATTTCTGTCACCCTTTTAAGACCAAGTTCAGTATTTACTGCACTCGCTGTTGGTCCATTTTCTCCCACAGTTTTTGCCTTCTTTAATTTCGTAAATGTAATAAATACTTTTTTTGTTAAAATTTTTATTTATTTATTTTTTTTTTTTTGCATTGGTCAAATCTTACTGATATATAATTACTGCTACATCTTTAAACAGCACTTTAATTATTTTACATGCATATAAGTTTATTATTATTTGTATTTTTTTTCTTCACTATTTTACTATAATCTTATTATTTAATATGTTTATATTTTACAGATCTGGTATTTTAAGAAACTGCTGCAACATGCAGGTAATAAAATAATTTTAGTTTTTAATTTTTATTTAAATGAGTTTGTTGAAAATTACTCACAGAATTAGTGTTGATTTGACTGAGTGTTATCAATGAATTTAATCAAAAATTATAATTCAAGGCAATTCCAAAGATAACTTAAATTCAAGGTAAAAATATAACTTTGTAGAAAGAATGCATTTTAAATTTCAAGACGTGTGTTGATATATATTTAAGAAAATTAATCATATATTTGTTTTATTTTAAAAAAAATCTATATGATATTTATCTTTTTTTTTCTAAGTAAATTTGTAAATTTAAAAAATATCTATGAATCTTAAAATTTAATGTAAATTTTCCATATTTTCTCTTGAAAAGTGATATAAATCTATTAGAATTTAATTAATAAAATTTTAGGTTTTTTTGGTTAGTTCTTTTTTTTAAATTTATTTTATTGTGTTACTATGTATGTCCTAGAGCCTATAAGAAGGATATAGTTAAATGCATAGCATATAATTATGTTTTTATTTATAAATATAATTATATCCATTTATATGCTTAAGTGGATCAACTGTATTCATGCTAGTTCAAATATTACATTATTTTTTATCACTTTAGGAAATAATTCCTGGTTTGTACTTGGGTTCTGTTTTTACTGCTAAAGAATCAAAAGTGAGTTGATAATTTTTCCAATTATAATTTTTGTCATTGATTATTCATTTTAAATTAATTTTATTTAGACAATTTGTGTTTTATTCTTGTTTTTTCTGTAATAGTGCACACAGTTAAAGCATTAAATAATTGTTATTATTATGTATTAATGTTTAAATATATATATATATATATATACCACTTTACCAAGATAATAGCTTTTACTAAAATTATGTAATTAAAATTGTGTCAAAGAGAAAATTTTTGCTGTACTTGTTATTGCATTTAAGTTTTATTTTATTTTATTCCTTTATAGCTTAGTCAACTGTTAAAAATTGGCATTACTCATGTTGTTTGTGCACGACATGAAAAGGAAACAACATCAAAATCTGGAAACTTTCCAGAAAATTTTGAGTAAGTATATTTTATATATTTTTTACAGTTTATAAGATTTAAGTCGCTAGTGATTGTTTAGATGCCATATGTCTCTTTTCCCTATTTCATAATTAACACTTTTTACTTAATGTTTTAATTATTTATTAAATGTGATTCTAAAAAATAATTAAATTAAAATTATAACTTCTTTAAATTGTATTTTAAAAAAAATGCATTTTTACAATGAAGAAATTTGCTGTAAAAGAATAATTGTTGACAAAAGAATTGTACAGAGTGAACAGATAACTAAACATTGGAGTGAACAGATAACAGACTAAACACTCTTTTGGGAGACAGTCTTTAATTTTGCTCTTTTGGGAGACAAGTATTAACCATTTTTGTGATATTTACTATTGTCTATTTATTTAAAACTATATTGATAAATCCCTATTTATTATAATTAAGTTTTTCTTAAATTATTTTCCTTGTGCTACACTTTCTTTGCAATTTAGAAATGCACCTCCTACACTTTTTATTTTTGTAAGGACAAATTCATTTATTTGTCCAGGTAACCTTTTGACTAGGCTTTAGAACTATGTAAAATATTCATAAAAATATAAAACGAAGAAAGGGTTATTTATTAAGTATGGCCTTTCTTGAAATTTTATTCTGTATTTAGATTATTTTTATGTAAACCATCGATTTTCGTATTTAACTGATTTAAAAGTTACTTAATGAGATTCGTTTTTACACGATTTAAAAATCATTACTCGCAATTCCCATTCACGCAATTTAAAAACCCAATATCGCGATTTGTATTTAAACGTTTTTAAAACCCAATATCGCTATTCATATTCCCTCAAGATTAAAATCCAATGTCGTGATTCGTATTCATATATATTTTTAAATTTCAATATTGTCATTCGTTATCACGCGGTTGTAATATCAAACATCGATTTTCGTATTTATACGCGGTTTAAGCATTACTCGTTGCGATAAGTATTCACGGACTCTGAAAATTATGCATCGTGATTCTTATTTACGCGATTTAAAAATTCAATACCGCAATTTGTATTTTCGTGCTTTTAAAATCCAATATCGTGATTCTTATTCACGTGATNTTCGATCAATGTGTGAAGTAGTGCTGGAGATAATTGACACCATGAATCCTGCAGTGCTGTCCATAAACCAGTGGGAGTAAGAGGGGGTGGGGATATCTTCTGAACATCACGTTGGAAGGCATCCCAAATATGTTCAATAAAGTTCATGTCTGGGGATTTTGGTGGCCAGCGGCACTCTTCTGAATTTGGACACTTTCGCTGGCTACCAAAATCCCCAGACACTACTTCACACATTGATCGAATCCATGCCACGTCGTGTTGCGGCGCTTCTGCATACTCGCGGGTACCCTACACGATATTAGGCAGGCATATCAGTTTTTTTGGCTCTTCATTATATTATGAAATTAAGAAAAAAAATCTACACAGTTTTATTCTATGCATGTAGACTTATTTTTTTCATCTATCATTATAAATTTATTACACATACATTTATAGCGATAAAAATATCTTGCAGAAAGATATTGGTTCTAGTTAGGTTTGTCACAGAAAGCCAGAAAAAATTCTGCCACAGGGATTAAGTTTTTCTTAAATTATTTTCCTTGTGCTACATTTTCTTTGCAATTTAGAAATGCGCCTCCTACACTTTTTATTTTTGTAAGGACAAATTCATTTATTTGTCCAGGTAACCTTTTGACTAGGCTTTAGAACTATGTAAAATATTCATAAAAATATATAACGAAGAAAAGGTTATTTATTAAGTATGGCCTTTCTTGAAATTTTATTCTGCTAGTTTTGTTTGTTGTAGGATTTTAGTTAAATGTAATACCTTAAATGTTCGTCAAATAAATTTATAAGTGTAGAAAAGAAAATTTCAAATTCCAATCATTATCACTTAAATATGTTGCTGTTATAAGTTGGCAACCTCAAACTTCAGTTCATTCTGAGTTTTTAAGGCAGGCAGATTATAAACTTCATTTCTAAGAAACTGAGTTTTACGCTTTATGGCGTGGGGAGGGGAATATCCATTGTTTTGTTAGGTTTAATGCAAAATGTTTTTAGGTCAGTAGCAGAAAAAGTAATTATCCATAAAAAAAACGCTTAATTTTAATTATCAAGTAAGCTTACATAGAAATTATTGTTGATTCAATTGTTTAATGCAACATTGTGTTATGGAACTTAATTTGGGTAAATGTATTTATTAAAAAAAGAAATATCGCAAAATGTTGGGAAATATCAATTCTTTGTATATATTGATATGACCCCGTATGAATCCTTGGGTACAATAAAAGTATATTATAAGAAAATTTTTTTGTGCGGAAAAAATGCTTCATATTAAAATAAAGTCGTAGATGATCTTTATTATCCAAAACTTAACTATTTTACACTAAAAAATTAGTATTCATAACAATTTTAACTTAATACATTCTTAAGATATATATATATTATACTTAATATCTGTTAGTAATATTTTCAATTAATAAAACTGTTCTTAAAATATTTTGTAACATTATTTTTTTCAGGTATCTGGTGATCAGTTTCTTAGATGGCAACATCATACCTGTTTTTCCTAAGGTTCAATACTAGTTTCTTTTTTAATTTTATTGCTTTTGTTTATGGTATTATGCAAATGATGTGTTTATATTTGAGATTGTTAAGAGAGTACAAGGATTGCCATTTTCTCTGGAAAAAGGAAATACTTAGAATTCTCAAGTAATTTTTTTAAAAATACTGCTCAATAACCTGGAATTCTCATGGAAATTCACAATTAATTGTCGCATGTAATTTGAACCTGTGTATTTCGTCCTATAATTAAAAATTTCAACTTTTATGTTGTGTAGCTCATCTATATCAAATAAAAACTTATCCAATAAAATAATTTTTTTTTGTCATCAGTGCTATTAAATATCCTAATTACTAGTTCTTTTTCCTACTTTGAAATAAGCAAGTTTTTTTTTTTTTAATTTTGATTAAATTTCTTTCTTACACATTGAGTTATTGAACAGTTTTAAAAATTAGGTCATGTTTATCATGGTCATATTTATATATTATCTCGAACTTTTAATAAAATAAATGATTAATCTGTTAAAACAAAAATTATATTTATATTTATTTTTCTCTCTCTTCTTTTTATCCTTTCAGTCTTTATTGTGCTATATATATATAATATTTTCTGTATTGTAAATCATTAATTTATGAGTAAATTTTTAAATTACGATTCAAAATCATGCTATTTTAAGTCACGAAATCTGTAAATTATGTGTAAAATATTTTCTGGAAATGTCAGGGAATTTGTTTTTGTCTGGAGAACGGATATGTAAATCACTAAATGTAATATTTTTCCATTGATTGTGCTGTCTTTTTGTGTTAATATGTAATGTTTTATTTTTATAACTTATGAGCAAAAATGCTATTTTTCTATAGTGTTTTTCATTGATATTTTATGATAATTTAGTAGTTTTCATACACAGAACTCGGTCAAAAAATCCTTGATTGCCTCCTGGCATCAAAATTACATTATTAAAAAAAAGCATTTGATTTAGTCCATTTCATTACTTACTTGCACACATCCATTTTTGTCTGCACAAAAATTTAGTTTGTTCCAAGAATATGCATAGCTGCCGACCCTTCTGGATTTTCCTGTAGACTACTGGCTTTTGCCAGTTTCTACTGGTCTAATAAAAAATTCTACTTTTTTGTATATTTCAGAAAATTGATGGGGGGGATCACTGTCAGAGAGGGTTTTTTACTCTTATTCATTCATTGTTTGCTTTGCATTGTATCTCTTTTTCTTTAGTATTTAACTAAATATTACTACTAAACAAAGAAGTAAGCTGAGTTTAGTTTCTTTTTTCAGTATGAAAATATTTTCTTTCATCATAACTCTATTTTTAAATTAACTGAAGAATATGTTATTATCTAAAATAGATTCAATATCTGAAATTTATGAATTCAAAATTAAATGTTAAATTAAATAATAAAAATAATCTATACCCAAATTATGAAAAGAAATCAAAATATTAATGCAAAAATAAAAAAATTAAATAAGATTAAAATGGTTAAAACATCCAAATGGAGAAATGCATGAAATTTCAGTTAATTGGATTCTTGTTATTCCAAGTAAGTTTCTTTCTGTATTTGTCTTGTTTTATACAAATGATTGTATATTCTTCTGTATTTTAAACATATTTTAATTTGTATTATACTAGTAAGTTTTCTTTCTTACTTTCCTTCTGTATTTGTCTTGTCATTTATTTACTCTTTTGTGCTTCTGTAATTTACTGTATTGTATAACATATTTTTCTATTTATTCTAATATTTTTCTGAACCTGGGCAAAACTTTTGGGGTACAGAAAAAGAGAATTTTTTGACTTTTGTCTCAGCTTTTCTCGATAGAAAAAGTTTTGCATTTTATGACAATTCAAGGCTGGTACATCAACTTTAATTGTCATGTTTTTTCCAATTTTTTATTTATTTTTCTTCAATAATCTATACCCAAATTCATTTAGTGTCAAACATTAATTGAAAATATTCCAGTCAATTTAAATTTATTATTATTCATAGAATGGAATGTTTGTATTTTGTTGACTATGAAAATCCAGAAAAATTCTTCTATTTAAAATATTTTATTTATTACACAATAGTTAACATAACATTTATATAATTTCTTAAATTCTATTGGATTTCTTCCTTTGCATGTTGGCTAGTAGGCATATTTTTCAGATGTAGTTTAATTACATCAAGTGATAGTCACAGGTGTATCAAAATTATATTATAGAAAAGTTGGCACATGTTTTTGCTTGTACCTTTCTGATGTAAAATAATTTTTATTACAGGTTAATAACTTCATAGAAAAGTGTTTCAGGTCTGGAGGTAATTATATATATGGAGTATTTTTATTTACAGAATCATAAGTATTAATATAACTTTTTCAAATTTTAAGAATTTAATTTGTTATTATTTAACATTTAGTTAACCTTTCTTGCATTAATAATAAGTTAATAAATTTATCTGTACGCTTTAAGAGTGTCTGAAATATTTTATTGGAATTATTATATTATTTTTGCAAAGATTGTCATTACAAGATCAAATAGATTCAGAAACCCGAAGTCGAAAAAATTTTGATGCTTTGTCTCACTCCCAGATAATAAGCTAGAGATCTGGCATTTTTAATCTTATATATATCTGCTGAATTTAAGATTGAAATTTTTATTTTAAAAATGTGAATTAATTATTATTAAAAGGGCATTAGTATTTTAAACATAAAAATGAATTTTTAAATAATATTATGATTAGTATGTCATACTAATTAGATATTAAAATGAAAACTAATAAATAAATCTTCAATAAAATTATGTGAGCCAGACAAAATATCTGTATTAAAAATTTATTAAAAGCGCATAAATCTCTCTTTTTATTTTAGATCTGAAAAATTTAAGACTAAAAAAAAGTTTATTATTAAAAAACTATATTAAAGAAATTTGAGCAAATGAAAATTTAGAGCTCTAGCTCCCTAAGGAGATTGCCTTCCTTGGTTTTCACTTTCTTTATCATATCACATCATCAAAATTTGTAAGTTTCAATTGTGCATTTTAGTTCAGAAAAATTAAATATTGAATAAATTAAACAAATTGACATATTATAAAAATTCACTATGTTTCTAAGGTCAGGTTGAAAAACATTATTCATAAACTTAGAAAAAAAAATGTATTATGATAACTCTGAAGTAAATGAGTTAATAAAATGAAAGTTAAAAATTTCTAGTATCTATTCAATGATTTCCATAAGTGTTTTTAGATGGATGACCTACCTTTCCTGCTCTTTCAGAGAGGTAAATGCACCCTCCTTGCCCTTTTTATAAAAATGTTGTTCTCTTTTTATTCAGAAAAAAAGGTTTAAAAAAAGAGAGATTGCAGTAGCAGAAACCCAAGAACCTCAGATTACCATAACTACTGCAAATTATTTTTAGGCTAATTTAATATAAAATATTATGTCTCATATTTATTTGAGTATTTTTATTTCTGTTTTAAAGGCATAAATCTAGCTGGATATAATGAGCCACATTAGTGCCCATCAAAACTCGCTGTTGCTCTTGTTTTTAAAAGAAATCGCCCAGCCCTTTTTTATTTTGTTGTAGACCTCTGATATATTTGATGTTTTGGTTAAAATTTCAGCATTTTAGTAAATCCTTTAATTGCTGAAAAATTACTAAATAGTGAAGTGAAAATGTTATACTATGATCTAAAACTAATTCTATGCAAAATTAAATGACCTGAAGAAAATATATTTCTTTTTAATCTTAAATTTATATATTTTTTAAGTAATTGTTCAGTTGCAAAATATCTTTAATAATTTTTTTTTTTTTTATTTTAGGTAAAGTACTAGTTCATGGAAATGTTGGAGTGTCTTGTAGGTAAGTTAAATTCTTTTTCTTAATATTTTCATTTCATTAAATAATGAAACTGATAATTTTGGAATTATAATCCATTAATAGGGTTCATTGTTAGCCTGATACCAAATATTCTGTCTTCGTTTGTCTAAATACTCCAGGTTTTTCTTTTTCTTTTACCAGCCCCATTAGTGCTAAAATTAGTACATTTTTATTCAAAAAGTAAAATCAGAAACGTATGAAAAATGAAATCCCTGTTTTATCTTCTCCCTTTCTTCAAATGAAGGAATTACAGGGTGGCCACCCACCTTGAAAACCTGGAATTATCAGGGAATTTTTTTTATACTGGAAAAAACCTGGAAATATCAGGGAAATTTGGATAAAAACCTGGAAAATCAGGGAATTTTAAAGAAAAAGCTGGAAATTTTTTCTTTGATAATTTTTTTAATTTCACTAATTTAAATTATTTACTAATTTTCTTAAGCTAAATTATTTCATCCATTATACCCACTTTTTTTTAAACGGAAATGCATCGCCAAACCGTTGAAATATCATCAACTTATCGATACTTTGCTTGCATCAAAATTTGCTCCATTACAGCTCTGTCAAACTAGAATACCACATAAAATTCTCCCACGGTTGCTAAACAAATGCAGAAGCCTTTGACCGCTATGGGACTGTGCAATTTAAGAAAGATTCTGGTGGAGATGGAAAAAGAGATTAGGATATTAGCTTCTGTTTTTAAATTCTGTCCTTGGGCTGAATATATTTCTGGCTCAAGTTTGTTCCGATACTCTGGCGGTAATTTTTTTTTTCTATTTTGACAAAATATTTTTGTATTTTTAACTTTATAAAATTCTCCAAAAATCGTTGGTTATAATTTAATAATAATAGATTTTATATTGCACTCTTTTTCTGAAAGCTTTTCTACTCCCATTCAAAGAAATCTGTGAATTATTTTTTCTCAACAAACCAACCAATCGCACATTTTTTTTTTACAATCGCTAACAGCAATGTTTGTCGATAAATTGTTACAACTGTTGCATTAATGCTAATTTTTTCTATTTCATTTTTACCTTTTATAACATATATTAAAAATAAAATTTTGTTTGAACCAACTATATTAATATTTCATTTTACTCTTTTGTTGGTCAATATATGATTTTTGATTCAAAAAATTTTGTACGAAAACATTTGAAAAATAAATAAAAAATCTTGCCAAATTGTCAAATTAAATTATTAAGATGATATGTTAAAAAAAAATAACATTTTGACTAAAATATTTTATAATAAAGACACTTTTCTTGTACACATCCTACACTTTATAAGAAAAAAGAAACAAAAACCTGGAAATTTTAAGATTTTTATCTGGAAAAATCAGGGAAATTTGATTTGAGTGGCCACCCTGAATTACTTCAGAATTAATATTTCTTAATTAACTCCACCCTTTTTACACAATCATTTTCAATTTTTGTCGTTTTATATTTCTTTTCATCATAAATCAATAACAGCCGCTTGACTCCAAGGTCATGCACAGTAGATGTCAATCACACAGGCTACTAAAAGAGAAAAATTAAGAAATAAAAGCACTTTTCCATATTACAAATTCATTTTATTTAAATTTTTTTTAATAAATTAATCGAGCTAAGCTCCAAAATGTGCCTGATGTAAAAGTTAAATTCTGCTGGGAGTATCTTGTCGGGAATTCTATTCTAGAAAATATTGTAAGTTTTAATAAATTATTTTGTACTCAATATGGTTTTTGATTATTCAAGTTATTTAAGCGGCTCGACATTGTGTGTTATTTTGGTTTTCTTATGTCATTGCAACAAAGACGATTGTAATATTTCTGTTTTTTTCTTTTCTTTCACCTGAGTGAGAGAAGTTTTCTTTTCCCTCAATAATTTTTTTGTGAATAGAAATTCCTAGTTTTCACTAAAAATTTCCGTTCTGTAAGATAAAAAGTAATAAAGCCTTATTGCGCTCTATTTTTCAGATTGCAGACAATCTTTTTAAATCATTTTCATTTCAAAAATTGTGAAAGTCATTAAATTTGGACTTTTTTTTTTTATTTACTTATTTTTTTATTTGATTGTATAGTTTTGATAGATTTCAAAACGTAAAAATTTTGGAATTCTTAAATAATCTTTGCATTCTATTTAATAATGATAAAACTTAGAATTCTTAAAAATCACCGACATATCATTGTTCAGGTTTACAAACCGTCCACAAATTACTTTTTCTTCAGACTTAATGCTTTTACTTATTAAGTCTCATTGTCATCTTATGAAAAAGAAGCTCAGCATTTTTACGATTGAATTTTTTTTCTTAATATTTCTAATCGTAAATAGAATATGATGATTAAGATAAATTAATTAACATTTTTAAATAATAATTTCTTTTCTCTTTCCCATCAAATTAAATTTCACATACATTTCTTTTCATTTATTGCAAAATCGAAATTATTTTAAATGTTAATTTTCTTTCAGCAATGGTTTAGTTTCTTTGCATTTTCTCTTAATATATTGATAATCTTTGTATATAGATTATGGTGTATTAAATTTTCTTTTCACTTTGTATGCACTTATTCTGTAGTACACAGATTGTATCTGATTTTGTTTTGAAATGATCTATTGTTTCATGAAAATAACTATAATTGTTGGTTTTGTTTTAAACTTATATTGATATATCTTTATATTGAGGAATCTCTTTCCAAAGCTGAAAAAAATCTGGTTCCAGGATTTCTCCTCATATGTTCCGATCGTACCTTTTATTCGAAAACAGAGTTTTTTTGTTTGTTTTTTTTAATGTTGTGGACCAGTAAAGACATACATTTTAATAGACATACAACGAAATGCAATTTTAAAAGCAGTGGATTATACATTTCTCTCTATTAGCTCTTCATTTCCTCTTAAAAATACATGTTTAATATTTGTAGAATAATGAAATATTTTGTTTTAATTGTCCTAGTTTATATCATTAACCACCAGGAGTGAAATAGTTATTTGTTATGTTGATTGACTATTACTTTTTTTCCCCCTTGTAATACAGATAATGTTATTACCTGGAATATAGAGCCAATATAAAAAGATTGGTTCCTGCAAATTTGTTAGCAGAGATAAATTATCATGGGCTAAATGTCTGTATTATATAATATTATACATGCTTTCTGCTTGAACGTCATTGTATAGTTTTCACCTTTACTCATAAGTAATTTATTATATGAAAGAAGAATCAATGTACAATAATTATTCATTTAATATTTCTAGTGCTGCCCTAGTCATGGCCTATCTAATGGAAAACAAAGCCCTATCTTATAAGTGAGTTTGTTTCTTTTGTGATTGCTATTTAGTTATTGATGAATTTATGTTAGATTTATATATAGAGAGAGAATAGTTAGTGTTTTATTTGATAACAGTAATAAAGTATAGCTAAAAAAAAATTCTTTCAATTATACTTTTGGTAATAACCGTTTTCTATGTTTCCTAAAAATTGTACTTCATAGTTGCCAACTCTTGTGAATTTCGCCAGCTTATCCTGGTTCAATTGAAAATTCTTGTCTATGTACATTTTAGAAGATTTTCTAAAATTAGAAAATTCCCTAGTTTGAATTTTTCCCTCATTTTATTGCTTGAGTATTTAAATAAGTATTACTTCGAAATAATGAAGTAATCTTCATTATAGTAATCAATTTGAGGAATTTCTCTTTCAAGTGTTCTAAAATTTCATTTACTTCTTTGATCATTTATTTATTTTTATTATTCAGAACTCTTAATTTTTAAATTAATTAAAGAATAGGTTATAAGTATGTTGAGTGAGTTCTATACTATTCAAAATTATTTTATTAATTAAAAAGTTTAATAAATATATAACGGAAACTGTTTATATTAAAGTCCACCTGCTAAATAACCACATAGTAAGAAAAGACAGAGGTGAATTTGTAAGTTTCTACTTTCAGTTGAATATACATAAAAAATACTCTGCATCAATTTTATACCTCCAATATTTTTTTTCTATAAAAGCACACTGTTTCATCAGTTATATTTTATATTTTCACTTGCATTTGACCGTTGGAAAGCTAGGGATGTGATTATGTTACCAGTAACTGTCTGTAATAGCGTGCATGTGCAGTGTGGTGCATATTAAATCTATTGTGGCTTTCAGTTGTCATGATGACATGATTTGAAAATTTGTAGATAGGCATACCACTTCAGAAATTTTTCACATCGTCTGACTGAAGTTAAAATTTTGTGGTTGTCCTATCATAACCATTAAAAAATAAAACTCAGAAAAATGTCCAAACAACGAGGCTTAGCTATGATTGGGTGAACGTTTAATACTCTGTCCTAAACTTTTGCCCTTGTTCTTAACATATTATAAGTAACATCATTCAAATCTTGATCAGTGATTTGCTTTTACAATTTTTTTTTTAATTGTTGCTTCTTTTTTTTTATTTAGCGACGCGTATTCGTTGATAGTATCAAAAAGACATTGTGTTCAAATGACTACTGATTGTGTCAACCAACTTAAGGTAAATTTATCATTGAAGATCATTAATTCAATATAAGATATTTGATAATAATATATGGCGATATTAATTTTTTGTTAAATATTTCAGGAGTATGAACCCATTTACCAAGCTAGAAGTACATATTCTAGAGGCCATACATCTAAACTGTCAGGTGATTTTTATTCAAATATTAGTAATTTTCAGTGTCTACTACAGAGTTTATTCATATGGATAGTGTTTTCAGTAGAAATGTAAACAATAACAATCTCGAACTGTATGCCTGCTCTAGTTCCAGTTAGAAAGTTTGCAGCTGCTTACTACATGTTAATCTTCGAGGCGATATTTTCAAACGGATAATTTTGTTTTCAATAAAAGAAATAAATTAGATAATTTCTGAGCTCAAATCTGCCATATTTCATAAGATATTAATGTTATTATGTAATTCTGTTGTGTTTGAAGTAAAAATTTGTTTTAGTTATTTAGAGATATATTGTTAAAAAAGGTGACATGGTTGCTAGATTTTGAATTACTCGCTTTTTTGGCAGTCTTGATATGGCCTCTTTCCATAAGTTTATTACTGTTTGTTCTTGTTGTAAGCTGTGCACCATGTTATGTTAGAGTTAACACTTATAGCATTGTAATCACAAGTAATCCAATAAATTGTTCGCAAGAAGCTCAAAACACAATGATGCCAAATGGCTTTAAAATATAACGGAAACAGTGACCGAAAACATTTGCCAAAAAGTTCACCACATAGCACATCAAAGTCGACTGTTCTTCTCTACGCCACTCGATTGCCCACTAAATATCTGTGAATTTAAATTAGCACTAAATTTTATTTCTCTTTGTATTACATAACGTGATTCATAAAAATACAATTCATTTAACCTATTGCATTTTGATGTGACAAATGTGCATACCTATCAATTTAAGATTTGATAAAAGTGTGTTGCGATTTGCAGTAATGAAATTTTCATATTTTAAGGTTTTGTAGATGGATGACAGGGACACCAAGAGAAACTTTTAATCAGTAATATTTTTATCCGATCAATAATTTGCTCAATATTTCGGTTTTCTATACTAACTTCTTTAAATAAAATATGAAAAAGGAGCAAAATTTTAAATGTCGATAATTTTTTTTTTTTTTTTTAATCACCATGTATTGTATAAATTATGAGAAGGATATGCATTTATAAAAAATTTCTAATGAAGCTATTCAGTTAAACAAAACAGTTAAAAAAGTAAAACAACTAAATTCAAGAATAAGTTTTTCTGATAACTATTTCATCATTTATAATTTTTTTTTTTTTCAAACCATAACTCAGATACTTTATTTATATTCAGCATATGCATACACCAGAAAGTGAATGAATTCAGAATTTTTTTTTTGTATACTTACAGGTGCTAATGACTTTCTCATATTACTGCGGTTCCCCCAAAATCACAATCTTATTTTTTTGGCTGAATCTCAGAGACTTAATGAATAAATTTCATTAGCAATTGCCAAACATATTAATTAACAAAATACAATTAATCATTTTAAAAATCTGTATTGTTCAAACTTTTATATTGTTACGTCAATCTTTTTTTTATAAATTGGGTTTTATCTCGAATGGTTAAACTTAAAAGTCTGGCGGCTAATGTATGAATGAGCTGATATATGGTTTCCATAAAAAATAAAAGTTGAGAAAGGTTATTTTTGTGTGATGCGAAATACTAATGCGATTTTCGAAATTCATTTACTATATTGTTATCAAAAAAAACTTTATTTACATTTTCTTTATACACAAGCATTTTAATTAAGTAATTTTGTAATTAATTGGATTTAAATTTATACCAAGCTCATACCTCTCAAAGACTCCTGTTTACCCCTATATTCTCAAATTTTTCCGTGCTCATTGAAGAAATTTTTAAAAACAATTTGGTGATAAAATACCCACTGATGGCAGAAATACTTCTCTTATTTCTCAACAGATGGTGCTGATGCCAGCACTGAAGTATGTTGAGTGTTAATTGTTTAAATCGAGCCATGGGTTAGACTGTTCACCTTGCAATGAGGTAAACCCCGGTTCGAGTCCCAGCGATAACTAGTCAATACACATTCTGCAACCGGCTTGCACCGGCCACAGTACTAACGTGAAATGTGCTCTGTGTTAGATGAGTCAGGGGTTAGAGTCCCTTTGTCGTTAGGCTAACAGTGGGTGGTGCTCATGGTTTACCTCTCCATGTAACTCAAATGCTTAGTTCATCAAAAAATCCTCCACAAAGGCACATTTCTTTCAATACTTGATCCTTGTCTTCTAGATTGAGTTACGAAGTTGAGGCTACGAAATTGAACATCAATAGTTGTAAGCCCAAAATTGGGTCGGTTAATAAAATCTCAGTTTTTTCTATTGTTACCAGTGTTGTCTAGTATGCTAGTGCTAAAACAATAACAAATCCTGTATTTTTTTTTTAAGATTTTGTTTTTATTCAGATGACCAAGGCAAACTAAAAAGAAGATATGATGAGGCCATAGACTCAGAAACAAACAACCGTATGGAGGTTTGTGAAGAAACTCAAGCATGACATTGACACTTCTGTTCGCAAAACACCATCCAACACTGCCAGTAATTTGCGTACCTGAAACCTAATCCATGAGCTTCAGAGATCTTCCAGAACTACATTTTCATTTACACTGAAGGTACGCAACTCTCATTATCATACGAAAGGCCTTATTTTCATCGAATATCATAACTGACGAGTAAAAGCACACAAAAATCCCAAAACTTTTCTTCGTGTTTCTACGCCTGCCAAATATTGTACATAGTTATGTTTTAAATGCTATTTATTTTTAACGTAACTTGTTTTAATTACATTTGTGTCGTACTAAATTTTGTATATGTGTATAGTCTTATGTTGTGATTCATGTTTACGTGTCTTTTCATAAGGACGAGTGTAGATGACCAAATAGGCAGGTCTATTTTTTATATATATATATTACATGTTTTCTTACCAAGCAAAACATTTTAATACTTGTGTTCTTATCATATCTAGTTACTTTAATTACATTCATATTAATAAAAATTTATATGTATTTTAACATATTGGTTACCTTCTAATATATACTTAATTTTAAGTAACTTTTTACCACCCGCGTATTTGAAATTAAACTTAAGCTGAAACTCTACATCTTTAAACACTTGTATTTCTTTGGCAGATCACATCAACTAAATTTGGCATGTTAATATTATGCAAAACAAAATTATTTGCCCATTCAGCAACATATTTCTGAATTTAAACTACTTGTCTTTTTCATGAACTGAGTTGTTTATTAATGACATTTTGAGGGAACGCTTTTACAAGTTATGGTAGTTACAAATAACCGAAGGCATAATGTCCAAAATCCCTCTTTTTCCACCTTCTATAAGAATATTTTTATCTATGATTATGTTTTATTTTCAAAATATCTAAATAAGTTCATAAAGTGGCTTCTTTGTCCCTTAGTGACCTTGGGAAGAAGGAAAAAAAAATTCATATTAGTGCCTGCCAGTTTAAATGTGGGCATAAAGGAATAGGTTTAATCTTTTTTCCAAAGGAGATGAAGCCCATTTTATCCGTGTAGAAAGTCAAGATAATCTGCTCTCTACTATATATTTTTAACTGATTGTGCCATGATTTGATGTTTTATAAAAACAAGATTAGCTTGTTACTAATTTCCATTTATAAAATTGAATATTTCCAACTTATTCTGGGGTATATCTCGTCCACTCTTAAGGCAAGTTGTAGAAGTAAAAAAAAAGTAATTTAAAATAATCATTCAGGTCTAAAAATGTAATATACCACTTGATTGTTTCCACACTCATAATATTTTAGAGAAAGTTAACTTGAAAAAAGTCCATGCAATTATCTATTCTAAATTTTTAGGACTCTTAAGAAAGAAAAAAATAACGCCAATGATTAAGTTTTCCAATACTGGGATTTTTATGGGTGAATTGAAGAGGGTTTCACTTATTTTTTAGAAGACACATACATTATAACAAATCTCATGGTGGGGTTTTGTTGTTTCAAAATAATCAATTATAAAACAGGGGTCTGTCCGGGCCAAATTTACTACCGTTTAACGATAGTTAAACAAAATACTTTTTCTTAAAATTTAATTTTTTTATCCCGTAAGAAACGATAAATCCATATTTTTGTGTTGTTTTTTTAATATAATTTTCACAAATTATGTACCTCTGAGAAAAACCTAGACAGACCCCTGTAAATATTTGTTAAATATTGTTCTAAGGGACCATTCACAAATTAATTTTGTAAAAATGTTTAGCTACATTTGAAATCATGAATTTTGGAACAGCTAGTTGAGGAATCATTTATCAAATTTTTTTTTAATTCCTCTGCCTACTTTTATCTATTAAGTTATTAATTATAATAAATAACATTTTACTTAATGTTACAGTCAAAGAAGTTCATCAAATTCATAAAAAAAAAAAATAATGATAATTTATTCTCTTGATTTCTAAAGAGTAGCACCCCTGTTAATATGATTATTCTTATACTCTAGACAAGAACCCAATATATCTTAACACTATAAGTTTAATTAAAATAAATTGAATCTATGATTTCAAAAACAAATAATTTTCAGTGCATTTCATATGGAATTAAACTGTTTTCCAACTCATAAATTGTTTTATCGGTATTGATTTTTGTTCTGCTTAAAGGATTTCATATTAACCCATCACCAAAAGTCTATGTCTACAAGAGTAAGGTCTTGGTAATAGTATCATTTCCTTTGAAATTAAAACAAATAGGTATTAAGGACTTGGCTAATGTTTTTAATTGTTAACTTCATAATTGAAAGGTTATATATATTAAAAGTTAGAGAAATTTTTCTTTTTGAAGAAAAAGTTAAGTTAGTGATTGTTCTATCTTTATATCATATGCACAAACCTTTTGTCTCATTTTTTGCTACAATATTTATCATTTTAGATAAGTTTTAACTTTTTCTGAAGGGTTTTAAAGCCTTATTTACCCATATCTGTTTTTCCATTTACTGCTTGATTTTAAATTACTATATACGATTAAATAGTAATTTTTTAAACTTTGGATTATTTTAGTTAGCAATTGGATGACGTACGTCCTTTTACTTAACTATTCTTCCAATCTTATACCTCTTAAAAGAAGTACACTCAAGTCTTTTATTGCCTAAAAATGAAAGCTATGTTTATGATTGCTAGAACAGATGAATAATCTGAACTAATTAGATTATCTGGTTTCTAATTTTAGAAGAAGGGTAGTAATATTAGAGGTGTGAGTGAGGAAGAGAGATTTAGTTTACGAAAGACTTCATTTTAACATTAAATAGCTGAACAATGTTGAATTTTGTCTGAATTGATTACAGACTAGAAAATAGATTAGTACATGTTCTAATATGTACAACCAACTCAGAATAAAACAGTAATAAATAAGTGATTAAAAATATTTTTTTTTCCTTAACTGTTATCTTTTGTATTATATAAATATATTTCTGCTGTTGCATTTATAGAAATAAACATCTGTATGCATAAAAGTGCCATGTTCAGCATCTCAATGTAATGAGCTTATCTACTACATATTGCCAGTAATTAAACACTCTTATTTATTTGGCAGAAATTCCTTGCTTAGAGTTTTTTAATCTAATTGTTTAAAGATTACTTTTCTTACCTATGATGTCATAAAATTAAACTGTATTAATTGTAATTGTATATTGTGTATATATATAATTAATAGTAACAATAACAATATAATATTGCAAATTATCATTGCGCTTACAGATAAGACGGATTTTTAAAAAAATTATCTCACCCTTTACAGATTGTTTTTAATCTCAGCATTTAGTAAAAAAAGAGCAAAAAATTACTTTCTATTCCTGAACTTACTCAATTTCTATTTGTTAGTCAATCTGCAGATATATAAGCTATAAAAAAATGTTTAATTTCATATTCTAAATAAGCCTCTCTAACTAATTAGAAAAATAAGGAATTTAAAAGACAAGTTTACAAAAACTCTTGTTTAAAGACTGAAAAAGAACTTGTTCCATTTTAAAAATCAAATTATTAACTGTATCAGGGATGATGACAAATTTGATTTTATGAAGATTTGCTGTCAGGTATTGAAAAAACACATTTTCAATAATTTGTAAGACTGTCTTAAATTTATTTAGTAACTATTATTTTAACACAAAATTAATGTAAGAAATGTGCTTTAAAGAATTTTTAAGTACAAGAATAGGATACTGCTAACAATTCAAATTTCATTTCAATGGTGCTTAAGTTATTACATTTGTGTTGTATGTTTTAAAAGAAATAGTTTTCTTTAACAGTGCCTTTTTGTGGATTATTACATGTCTAGTATATTTGTTTTTCAATTAATAACTGCTAAGTTTCAGGTTGAGATACTAAGAACTACCATGGGTGATTTTATTCCGGGTGAACCCTGAAATTCTAGGTCAGGGGTGGCGAACCTTTTTGCACCAACGTGCCATTTTTTCTATTAAAAAAATTGTTTAATTTGGTCATAGACGTGCCATCAAATAATTTTGACTTCGTGATTATTGGGAAAGTAATAATACTGAATACTATCAACTCAAAACTCTTTGCAAAATGTTTTTTTTTTCCACAGTATATAATGTCTCAGTTATTCGCATAATTCAACTAAAAGTAACATCAGTGTGACTTCTGTTGTTGCAAATCAGATGACAAATAACTTATATTAGATTGTATGTTAGTTTAAGCAGGACTGTTAATTTTTTTGTCAATAATTTTTTTTTTTTAATTGTTAATATGCTTCATAGTAAACTTTGTGATTGGTGGCGTGCCCAAAATATTGGGCTGCGTGCCATTGATTCGCCATCCCTGTTCTAGGTTTTTCATAATATCCTGAAGGATCTAAAAATTAAAAGCAGGGCTTGTGATTTTGCCGCAAATATTCGCAGAACTCAGCGTACCTCAAGGCCATTGGTCTACGGACTGCTACAAACTTGAATTAATTCAAACTTAAAATTAAAACTTGAAAATTTTTGAAGAAATTTTAAAACTTTTGCTAAATTCTATTAACAAGATGTTTACGTATGTGTGATTCTTTGGGTTTGGTGGATTTTCTGGTAGCCCAGAATCTGCTAATATTGTGATTCTCATTCACACAATTTCAATATCTATTTTCATATTCACCCGATTTAAAACTATGCATTATGATTCTTATTCACGGGCTTTAAAAATCCAATGTCATGAATTTTAAGGAGTAAGTTTTTCCCTGAATTAGTTACTATGAAGGTAATTTAACTTTATAAAGGTAATTACCCATCATTAGTAGGTAATTTATTTATAAATGCTAGTTCCAAACATTGTTAAATATGAAACATTGATATATGAGTTGATATCTTGCACAAGAAATTTTCAGGGTTTTTCACTTTGTCACAATTGCCCCTGAACTTGAATAAGGGACTAATAAATTCAGTAGGCAAGTACAAACTGTGATATAAATTAGACCTCTAAGATTTTCATCCCAGAGAAGTTCAGTAATAAATCATTAGGGTATTCATCGCCTTTTAAAAATATAATTAATCATCATAACTTTAAAAGCAGAGTATGTTAGATAACCTAAACTAATGCACAACTAGAAAACTTCTTATCCATAATAAAACAATTTTAAATATTCAGAGATTTATAATTTAGGATTACCAAAATTAAATATCCTGGTATTGCTAAATGCAATTGAAAGTACAATGGCTTTGGTTAATTTGTTATTTACGAAGAAAAAAGCAATTCGATTGATTATTGAAGTCATTGTTTTTTAATTATTTTTTTAGAGTGAATTGAAATTTCTGTTCATTACGCCCAACGTTATTTTCTTCAATTATATTTTGAAACTAGAAATAAGAAAATGCTATTAGGCTCCTCTTTGCTTTTTTACACTATAAAAATTTACATAAATCAAAACGGCTTTAGCCCCATTAGATCATATTAGGCATCAATTGAGGCATAATCTTTTTTCTTATACTTAAATAAATAAATTTTCAGAATTTCACTTGATATGAGTGTTTGTATTTTACTTATTTTTGTTCATCAAATTATCAGGCTGATAACTTTGGGATTCCAGAATCTGACACTTGTTAAATTAAAAATTTGTATACTTATACATTTAAAAGAAATGTTTTTGGGATTAATGGATGCACAGAGATAAAATAATTTAAGCAATTAGTTNCTACACAGTGTTGCAGTAACGTAGATTGCATGGTTTTGAATCATTGTTCATAACTCCCTCTATTAACCAGTCCAATTAGTAGCTCATTACATAAATTTTCGTGAAATCGATGACAAATGAAAAGAAACATATATAATCTTTTTCTAACAAAATTACTGTTTTAAATAAATTTTGATACAAAAAAAATTATGCGTTTTTCGCTTTTGAAATCTTTTACTTTTGAAAAAACTAGCTAAATTACGTTTAATTTCTTTTTTCCTCAGTTGGTTACATAATACGATTATTATATACACTTATTATTGTGCACTATTACTGCCAAAAGTCATTTTCCGAATGAATTATTAATTTATTCAAAAGCTATGCAGTATATGGGTATAGATTAAATGCACTTCTAGAATAAATTGGAGGGAGATTTTAAGTTATATTCGGCTAAAATGCCTGTTATCACGGACGGTAATATTCGGCTGATGTTTTTATTCTTTAAAATAATTTTTCCTCGCAGTTTAAAATTGAATTGAGTATTTCCCGTAAGAATTGTTGTACACCAGGCTGCAAGAAGAATCAGGTAAGTTTTTAAACTGTTGTTGATTTTCCCTTTCATTTCTCTCATTAAGCAAAGTAACACAATTTATTCTTTTAATTAAAAAAAATGTTTTGTATTCTTATGGCTTTTGTTTACTAATGTTAAAATATAAGCTTTAATATTAATTCTGCATTCATGTTTTCAACTAGAAAGATGGTTACAAAAATTTGCGCAACTAGAAAAATAATTAAGAGTAATTTATGTCCCAAAAGTAGGAATTAATAAATTAATGTATAAAATAAATAAATATTTATTTTTTAAAGTGCAGAGTACTTTTTCCTTTAGGACT